GCACACGTCCAGATGCGGGCAGAGCTGGGGACTTTGGCTCCCAGATGCCGGCTTCATCCTCTTGTCTCTGAGCAGGACCTCGGGGTGAAAAGACTAGGGACCGCGTCTATGTGTGGGGTGGCTGCCCCCTCTGCAGAGGCTCAGGCCATGTCCCCAGAGCAGGGGAAGGACCGGGGGAGGCAGGAGCAGCAAGGCCAAGACCACAGGGCTGAAGCACCTGCCGCCCATCACCCACATTGTTTTCTAGGTCCCTGGCACTGGAGGGGTTTGTTGGGTGGTTGCTGTGTCTCTCTCCCCACCCCCACCCCTGAAATGACCTGCAGCCAGTGAGGCAGGTGGAAAGGGGCCCAGCACAGATCCCCCAGTGTCTGGGCTGGGATTATCCCATGGGCCCCACCTGTCACTACATGTATGGCCAGTGAGGGCCACTGCAGGCCTGCCCGCCCTTGTCCGCTCTACCAGGAAGGGCTGGCCCAGGGCTGAGCAGCTGTCCCTAGTCCCCACCCCTCAGCCTTCTTCCTCTCACACTCCTGGGGTTGCTTTTCTGTGAAGCACAAGAGGCTCCCTTCAATTTGGAAACTCCTTAGGGAGCACCGTCTCTGCAGCCTGGGAACGGGGACCATGGCAGGGAGGGGCAGTCCTGGAGCCTGGTCCCTGCCAGCCCTGTGGCTGGGTTGACCCTGGCCCTTGTTGCCCCCATGTCTGAACCCCAGGACAGGAGGGGCTGGTGGTCCTGGGTCCCTAGGTGGATGCGCTGGAGCTTAGGGATCTGGTGAGTGCAGCTACTTCCTGGGAGGTGCTTTGCCTCGAAGGCTGAGAAGGCCAAGAAGCTTGAGTCAGCCATGGTCTCCTTGTTTGGTCCTCTGAGCGGATGCAGCAGCGTCCAGTCCAAGTCCCAGCTCCCTGGGAGCTGTCCTTTCCTCCTTCTGAACCCCAGGACAGGAGGGGCTGGTGGTCCTGGGTCCCTAGGTGGATGCGCTGGAGCTTAGGGATCTGGTGAGTGCAGCTACTTCCTGGGAGGTGCTTTGCCTCGAAGGCTGAGAAGGCCAAGAAGCTTGAGTCAGCCATGGTCTCCTTGTTTGGTCCTCTGGGCGGATGCAGCAGCGTCCAGTCCAAGTCCCAGCTCCCTGGGAGCTGTCCTTTCCTCCTTCAGCTGGCCTGTGCCTCCAGCTCAGTGCCCCATCCCACTTCCGGCTCCTTTTCCCTGGTGGCCTGGGGGCAGGGCGCGTCTGGCGCAGTCTTCAGGCTGACTCCACTCTTTCCTCGGTCCACAGGATGAAGCCAACGCACACAATGGTCAACTGCTGGTTCTGCAACCAAGACACACTGGTGCCCTATGGGAACCGCAACTGCTGGGACTGCCCCCACTGCGAGCAGTACAACGGCTTCCAGGAGGTGCGGCGCAGGACTGGCGCTTCTGAGATGGGCACTGTGGGGCCGCCTGCTGCCCTACAGGCTCTGAACCATCTGTTTTCACGGGTGGCTGCCCTGGTGCTGCACCCTTGTTGGAGGAGGAACTGGACTGAGGCAGCTGTGATGACTTGTCTGAAGTCACACCACTAGAAGTGGCAGATTTGTGGTTTGAACCCAGATCTTTCTGGCTCTGCAACCATTTTCTGCACTAGATCAGGGGTCGGCAAACTTTCCCTACAAAGGGCCAGATAGTGAGTATTTTAGGCTTTGCAGGCCGCATGGTCACGGTCACTGCTGCTCAGCGCTGCCGCGGGTCGGCAAACTTTCCCTACAAAGGGCCAGATAGTGAGTATTTTAGGCTTTGCAGGCCGCGTGATGACGGTCACTGCTGCTCAGCGCTGCCGAGCGCGATAGATAGTATGTGGATGAATGAGCATAGCCATGTTCCCATAGGACTTGATTTACAAAAACAGGCCGCCAGTCCGTGGGCCATGCTTTGCCTACCGCGGTTTGCAAACAGTTCCCAGAGCTGTGGGGTTCTGGGGACAAGGCCAACGGGAGGCGGGCGGCAGGCGCTCAGGCCGGGTGGCTTCACTCCAGAGTCTGGGCCTTCAGGGTTTGGTGCAAAGTGTCTTTGGCGGGAGAGCTGCTGCTGTTGGAGATATGCCACCACTTCCCTGTGGCGTCCCCACATGGGGCCTCCATGCTACTACTGTCCAGGCTAAGCCAGCTGGGGAAGCTCGCCTGCCTGTTGGGAAGGGGCTCCCCCTCTGACCACAAGTTCCCCCTTTTCCCCCAGAATGGTGACTACAACAAGCCAATCCCTGCCCAGTACATGGAGCACCTGAACCACGTGGTGAGCAGCACGCCCAGCCTCCGTGAGCCCGTGCAGCCGCAGCAGTGGGTGAGCAGCCAGGTCCTGCTGTGTAAGAGGTGCAACCACCACCAGACCACCAAAATCAAGCAGCTGGCCGCCTTCGCTCCACGCGAGGAGGTGAGGCCGGGGCCCTTTCGGGGGGTTCTCAGAGCAGCTGAGGGGTCAGGCACATGTGCAGCACGCTGGCTGGATGCCGTCTTGGGGCCTCAGCCCCTGCTCTGCCAGACAGCAGCTTTTCTGTCCTGAGTGCCCAGGGGGTCCCCTCCTCACCCTGACCCTATGTGGCCCCACATTCCTAGGTGTGTGATTTCTTCCAGCCCCATTGTAGCTGGGTTTCTCCTTGTGTCTTGTAGTCACTTGTAGTTCTAAGCCTGAGAACACCATGGAAACCCTAGCGCCTGTCAGTCCAGAGAGGTTTATCCCTAGACAGAGGGAGGGAGGATCCCTGGGCTCCAGCTGAAGCCCTGTTGGGTCCATCCTGTCCTCATCTTTCTGAGTCAGTCTTGCAGTTTGTTCTGAGAGCTGGCAGGGGATGCTCCTGGCTTCTGGGAGAGGGCGGAATCTAGATGTTGCTGAAAGGCCTGATGTTAGGGGTTGGGCTAAGCTGGGAGCTTTGCCACCCCTGGGCCCACCATGGAATCCAGGAGCCTTGTTACCTGGCTGCTCCTGCCTCTCTACCTACTCCTAGACCTCCCCCCACCCAGGGGGTCCTGTGACTTCCAGAAGCAGATGCCAGCTGGGGCCCAGGGACACTGGCTCTTCCGAGGTCAAGCCCAGGAGGGAGGGCGGAGAGCAGACATGAGCTTGGGGCCTGCAGCAAGGTGGGGGAAGCTGCGGCTTACAGCTGGGCAGCTTTTCCAGTGCTGGGTCCCAGCGAGAGATGGCATTGATGATTTTCCCAGCCGCCGCAGACTGGAAACGGGGGGAAGTGTGTGGCTGCATCTCCGAAAGGTGGTAGAGATGGGACTTGTCTCCTGGAAGCCCAAAGAACCCTTCAGCTCCTCTAAGGTCCAGGCCAGACAGGGCTCCTAGAGTTTTTCAAATCCTTGGGCTCAAGGGGAAGGGCTGGCCCTGCCTCTAGGTTACCCGTCTGTCTGAGTCCAGGCAGGGTCAGCTCAGAGCCACCTTCTGCGGCTCACCTGCCTTCCTGGAGCTGTGAGTCCAGGGAGCAGGGCCTGAAGCCAGGAAAACGTCCTGAGCTCCAGGCCTCCAGGTGCATCGTGGAGCAAAGGGACTTCATTAGAGTATCTCCGTCCCCTGTGGGCCTCTGTATGGTCCGGCCCACACTCCCAATAGCCCACGTCACTGTTTGTCCTTTTGGGCTGGGGGAGGGAAGCAGGTTCAGAGTGGGGATGACTTTCGTGCATCACCCCCCCAGGACCTGAACCCCGGTCCCACCCATAAGACAGACGGGCAGCTCAGCCACCATGCAGACACCAAGCCTCTGCCCCCCGACCCCGCAGGGCAGGTACGACGAGGAGATTGAGGTGTATCGACACCACCTGGAGCAGATGTACAAGCTGTGCCGGCCGTGCCAGGCAGCCGTCGAGTACTACATCAAGCACCAGAACCGCCAGCTGCGTGCGCTGCTGCTGAGCCACCAGTTCAAGCGCCGCGAGGCCGACCAGGCCCACATGCAGGTCCGCGCAGGCAGTCATGGGGCGTTTGGGCTGTCGGGGCCTGGCCACTGTGACCAGAGGGCAGCTTTTCTGAGCTGACAGCCTTATCCCTTCCCACGGGGCCACCTTCCCACCCTGCCCCTGGACCCTTTATGTCATCAGCCAAGTGTGTGTTCTCAAGGAGAGTGGCCAGCATAAGGATGTGCCTGCTGTTTACATGCCTGAGCTTGGCTTCAGGTTGCCCTGCTGCACCTGAGCTCCTCCGGACTCTGCTGCCTCGTCCTCAGAACGGCCTTGGAGGAACACTCTTAGGCGTTGGGAGCCTGTATCAGTGCATTTCTGTTGCTTAAACAAAATACCCAAAACTGAGTAATCTATAAAGAAATCAAATTTATTTCTTACAGTTTGGGAAGCTGGGAAGTCCACGGTCCAGGGGGCATGTCTGATAAGGTCTGTCTTGGAGGGAACTCTGTGTATCAGTGCATTTCTGTTGCTTAAACAAAATACCCAAAACTGAGTAATCTATAAAGAAATGAAATTTATTTCTTACAGTTTGGGAAGCTGGGAAGTCCACGGTCCAGGGGGCATGTCTGATAAGGTCTGTCTTGGAGGGAACTCTGCAGAGTCCCGTGGCCACCAGGGTGTCACATGGTGACAATGGCAAGAACACTGTCATGTGCTCTGAATAAAACCACCTGCCCACGCCCATGATAACTCATTACTCCATGTATGGGTTAATCCATTCAGGAGAGCACAGTCCTCACGATCCTGTCACCCCTCAAAGGCCCCATCTTTCAAATATCGTAGTCGGATTTCCCACCCTCATAACACTGTTACAATGGGGATCAAGTTTCCAACACATGAACTTTCAGGGAACACATTTGACCCATAGCAGACCCCCATTTACAACTGGAAACCCAACTCAGGGAGGTTAAGAAACTTGCATAGTAGGCCGGCCCGTGGCTCACTCGGTAGAGTGTGGTGCTGATAACACCAAGGCCACGGGT